AGCCGAAGAATAAGGATCCGGAATACTCGGAACGGGCGCGCGCGCATTCGTGGCGCTCGAACCAACTAACGAGTAATGTCCATGACGAGCATTTCCATACCCTTGGGAGCGCCAGAGGGTGTCATGTGACTAACGATAGCGATCGCGCTCTGCGCGAACTTTGCGAAGAGAAGTACGCAAGTCTTCTACTGTACTCGCAGCTCGATCTGCACGCTCCGTAGCCACCTTGGCCTCGGAAAGGGCACCACGAAGGTCCCACTTCATTTCACGAAGCTCTGCTGTACGAACGAGGTACCAGCGAGCTAATGTCTCGATCATCGAGCCGACATTCCCAGACTCGTAGGCCCTTTGGCCTAACGCTTCGACCGCTTTCGGCAAACGAACCAGGTCGTCCCTGGTAATATCAGACTCGACCATGGCCCTTGCGTCAACGAATGGAGGATCCAGAGATGCCCCAGACGGTGCTGGGAGAGAAGCAACTTCTCCGGCAACGTGACTGTAGTCCCTCTTGTGACCCAGTCCCAAACGCCCTCGACGTCCTGAGCTTGGGTTGTTTCTGTACTCTCGACGGAAGGAGTCCGACGCAGCGTGATAGTACACGTACGACGATTCGACACCGGTCGAAAAATCCTCCCATACGACGAAAAGTGCTTTTGGTGCACTACGGACGCGTTCCATAAGTCCCAGGGCTTCTGAGAACGACCACATTCGTGGAGTGCCACGACCAACGAGCGGGGCTGCCAGACGAGGCGCGCCCGCCACGACCGAACGGAGTGCATTAAGTACGCCGTCTGAGACGAGAAAGGCTCGACGCTCACCGAGAGCTTACTGCATGATCGCACATGCAACGTTAACGGACCACTCGAAGGTCACGACTCGCTCGAGGCGAGAAAGATACGAGTGCTGGCGGTCGTTCGCCGCATAGCCGAAGTACCTTAAATCGACGGGACAGAGTACGGGCACCCCTGCCGGTGGCATAGACTGCCAAACGACAGGAGGGAGCTCCGCGAAATCTATCTTGGTCAGACCAATCGCCAACTCCGACGACGGAGTCACTCGAGACTCATGCGATCTGCTCCAGCGATGAACGAGCCAGTCGGATGGCCACAACACGCGGCCAGTGAGGCGCATTAAGCCCGCGCTGGCTTTCGTTACCACTGGACGAAGACCTTCTGAGCCCGGAACTGGGTACGTATACAGAGGCTTGACCAAAGGAAGCGGCATCTCTGTATCCGACGGGTCGACAGTCCCGAAAAGGAACCGAGCGGCTCGGTCAACGTACTCCACTTCGGAGTAAGAAAATACAAACGCGCGGTCACACGTAATTTCCAAAGGCACCTGAAACGCGGGTCCCTGCCGAAAATATTCTTCTCAGGCCGTAACGATGGACGACGATGTCCCACCTCCCGCCATTTTCTGGAACCGACGGAGGTCAGGACGGGGACTGTCCACGGAAAGGACATCTTCGAGTGTCACGTCTACACGAGGGAACTCCTCCCATTCGTACGTCAATCCTGCTGTCGGTAGCGATTGAGCGGAAGTATCGGCACGGCCGAGCAGCGACGTTGCGGAACCGATCCGCAAGACGCCCTCGCTCGGGGGGGATCCTGTGTACGGATATCCCGGGACGCGACAGCTTTCGAATGCTGAATAACTTGGCGTGGCACAGTACCACTCGTAACGGCGCAACGTCATGAGGCCACCGGGCTTAGTGACGTTCACGTTTCCAGACTCCTCCAGAGCAGACCGGCGCGTCGGCTTCAGGCTCGCAGCGCCGAACGGCACGTTCGATGCGCGATCACAGACCCCCGATGCGCCTGACGCTGATGAAAAGCCCACGGCGGGAGGACCTTGCTTGTCCACGATGTTCCCCGACGAACAAACGACAGGGTCGCCTCCTGAAAAATCTTGGGACATACAAACAGGCCCTGATGGCACTGTAACGACCGGGAGTCCCGACGAGACGGAAGGAACCTCGGTAGTGACGACGGCAAGCGGTCCTACCGACGCGAGCCCAAGCGTAGGCGGGGCACTGGAAACAGGAACAGACGGCCTGTCTGCGAGCGATGGCGCAAGCTTTTGCACAACGTTGTCGTTCGGAGATATCGCAAGCGAGGCGGATTCTCGCGGGATACATCTGCGTCACAAAAAGGACGCCGAAAAACACGATCTGTTAAGTCAGAACGACTGCGCGGAGCAACCCGTGCCGCCTGCGGTACGGTAAACGAAAGGAAGCTCGCACGGCTTACCTTATGCAGAAGAACAACGGAGTGTGATCGAATCGCACTGAGAAATGGAGAACGAGTCGTGGGACGACAAACTGAAACGAGACGGACCGATCGTCTACCCCTTCGCTGCGCGCTGTCGCACCAGATGCTGCGCTGTCAACATATTCGAACTCCGACGGCGAGAAGCACGCTTGGCAAAATACGTGGAAGAACGAGGACACACGTGTCCGCAGCTGATTTGTCCTGCTCAATTTTTGCGCAAATTTTGAAGTGGGACACATGAGTCCTTCGCGCACGCGCCGTGCGTAATTTTTCGGAAAATATTTTTTGCAAAATTTGAGCGGGACGCTCAAGGCGAGGAGGGGGCCATGTGGTATATCGCCAAGTGTCCACTAGTGTATATACTGTACTCGAACACCCGATGGTGTATGACAAGGACCGCATTGGTTAATTCCCAATTCGAAAGGTAATTACCTTATCGCCCGGTAAGTTGGGCAGCGCAATTTGCGTCCGTGTACGTACTGTACTCGAATCATACCGTCTAATGTATGATACCGGCGTACCTCGCTGGCGCCCAAGTGCAGGACCGTTACTGCCCGACGTGTAGTCGTACCGTTACAGTCTGGCACTGTAAGAACGGGGACTACTGTAGTAGATATAATAAAGTAGGGAAGGGGAAGGACTTGAGTGGATGATCGATCAACGCAGTGGCATCATCTCGAGGGCCGACCCCTTTGTCCCTTGGTTTTGTGCCTAAGTCTTTCGCTTGACTACGTTTTCGTCTTCCCTTTTTGTACATCGAGTACACCGAAAAGTACTCCACCGCAGGGGTAACGCACGACGAGCGCTCCGCATAGCGCCCGGATTCGTCCTCCGTAACGGCGTCGCCTCCGCACGGCGTCGAGTTACCACGTCGAGGACGCCCACTCTGCACTAGTTTCTCTCCATCTGCTCTGCCACTTTTACCCCTCTTGCCCCACCCCCGCTTCCTCCGCAGCGTGCCCCTCTCGCCTGCCATTTCCTATCATTATCGCACAGTGCACTATGGCCTGCTTCTCATCTCACGATGCAGCACAAGCCCTGCAACTCTTCGCCAATGCGTCAATTGATCGCCGTAATGAGCTCGAGGCGTTAGAGGACGAGCGCCCAGAGGACAGTGGTGAGGATAATGGGACTGATGCGCCAATATTTGACGGTTTCTACGATGAGGGGGGTGCGAAGGCCATTGTGGAGATGACCAACTTCAACCCGCCCCATTCATCGGCATTTGGGCTGGGTTTGAGGCGTTGGTCCTTGTAAACTACAACGTCGGTCGTGGGCGCAAATGCGCGCAGAAGCCTAAAGACGTGCTATTCATGGTATTGGCGGTTCTTAAGTACGGGGGTACGTGGGATTTTTTGGCGAGGATGTTTGGGCAGAAAACGTTCGCGTTTGAGCGAATGGTGCTTCGGTTTATACAGCTCTTATCCGAACCTTTATATGAGCACTACGTCTCAAACCAGACGAAGAAATGGACCATGAAGGAACTGCAGACAAATGGGCATGTGTTTAAAAAATATCCCATGGCAAGGTACGCCATGGATGTGACGTTCCAGCCTGCCTTCAGGCCGTCGGGCAGTGTCGAGGAGGGAAAGCGGTATTACAGTGGTAAACACAAGTTGTATGGATACAAGGTTGAAGTCTCAGTTACCCCAAATGGTTTCGCTGTCGGTGCGAGCATGCACGAGCCTGGGTCCGTTTCTGATCTCGTCATTTTCCAGGAAATTCAATGGTTTCACCGCGGCACCCAGCGCAAAAGGAGTGATGAAATGGACATTGCGGACAACGGCCCGCTTGCAGAGAGGTACCTGAAGCAGTTGGCAGTGCTAGCTGATAAAGGCTATCAAGGCGCTGGGGAGTTTTGTAGAATTATTCATCCCAAGCGCAAACCACAAGGCTTGTGTTTGTCTCCCGCGGATGTTTTGACAAACAAGTTTATATCTAGTGACCGCATTTTGGTAGAGAACTATTTCGGACGTTTATGCGGGCTTTGGAATGTGTTAGGATCGAAATGGAACTGGTCCGAGATTAATTATGACCCCATATTTCGTCTATGTCTAGGGCTGACGAACTTCCACATACGCTGGAAGCCGCTGCGGGATGACGACGTGCAGTTATACCATCAGCTTACAAGCAGGTGGTATCACATTGGGAATTCTCAACTCGAACGACGCCGAAGGATACAGATGCGCTATCGTCAGAGACGAGCGGACTTCGTGCAACGCCAATTTCGTGCAGAGGGGGTGAGGGAGCTGTTTGGGAGACAGCCAAGCGAAAGTATGTAGGGACAGCAGAAAGATACTGTACTATCGTAAAAGTATCATTTTTGCTCTCGATTTTTATGCATTGCTGTAGAGGGCGTTGAGTCGGCTGTTGGAGTCCACTACAGCATATTTTAGCTCACCTTCAAAAGGACCGAGTCGTCCTGCAATTGTCACTGTTCTGCGCAAACCCCCTTCATTTGCGTTGGGAGACCTAATGACTCTCTGAACGGCCCGGACAGTCATTCCTCCCTCATGTCGTTGGTCAGCGGCACGTCCCCTTTTGCTCAGTGGTTATCACAATCATACCGTACATTGGCGACATCTTCTTGCGCCTTTCGTGCGCGGTCGTGCGTCTCCGTCCTCCGCATCTCCCGCTATACCCTGCACCTTTATACGACATGCCCCAACCTTCCGACATCCGCGCCCAGCCTCAATCCTCCGCTCCCCATCATCCGTCGCCACTGCGTCGATGACGTTTGACCGCCTGCCGCAGGCCGTGGCCTTTCTGCAGCAGCTCGTCGACAGCCACCCGGACACCGTGTATGGGTATTGCGCAATGGACCGCACCGAGGCCACGTGGCCCGACGCACCCGCTAAGAGCCTCTACTCGGCAAACATCTTCAGCCCCGCCCTGCGGAGCGAGCCCAACTCCACGTCCACGAGCTCCGGCGATGAGAAGGGCCTCTCCGCCGCAGAGCGGCAGCAAGCGGTTGCTGATATTGGGCACCACACAGTGACCAACTACTACCGGTGCACGTTTGACGGGGCGGAGATTGAACTTGACAACTTTCGCGGGTGCTCCATGCAGCCGGAGCAGGTGGTCTTATTTGTGACGGATGACGAGTTTTTCAAAAGGGCGTCGCTCGTCGCGGAAGACCCCCTCAACCAGGTAAGGGTGGAGCTTCTCGCGCCGCGGCCTTCGACGTCGTCATCATCATCATCCTCGTCACTGATGCTGGACGAGCGCAAGACAGGCGTCACGGCCGACTTATCGCTGAAGAACATCTCCGTCGTGGGCGGGTGCGCCGTGGTACAGGCGGTGGTAACGGCGGTGAGCCTAGGCGAGGCGGAATTCGTGCAGGCGATTTACCGAGACACGTACCTTGCCAAGCGCGCGGTGGCACTCGACGTACCGCGCTCCAAGCTGCCGTTCTACCCACTGGACAAGCAAACCAAAACGTTGCTGCGGCAGATGCCGTCGGCGATGTGGGTGGTGTCAACCAGCGCGGCCCACGGGGAGGATCTGGCGATGACGGCGACGTCCGTCACGGTGCCTGCGGCGGCGCGCGGGATGATGTGCTTCAATGTGGGGCACTCGAGCGCGTTCTACGCGGGGCTCGGCGGGGTCGGGGCGGGCGTGAGGCTGTTCGCGCTTTCGACAAGGCAGAAGGACATTGTCGAGCGGTACGTGACGAGGGCTGCGTTGGGGAAGGAGGATAGGACACGGGTGGAGGAAGAGTGCATGGTGGCGGCAAGTTGCACGATTGAGCATACCGAGGATGTGCAGGACCATCACATTGTTTTGACGAAGATTGACGGCGTCAAGGTGCCGGAGAAGGACGAGGAGGGGTTGATGCCTTTGGTTTGGCAACACGGAAAGTTGATCACGGAAAGTCGATCACGTAGCGGTAGGCGCCGGGTGCTGAGAGTCGGCCCTTGTGCGCTACAGTATTAAATTATATAAACGCTTTTTTAATTGAAACAAGGTCTTGAGCAAAGAAAAATGCAGCAACTCACAACTCAGAAATGGCCATTAGACTCGCCCCTCCCGGTGCACCGCCGTTCCCATCGCCGCCCTCTCGTTTCCCCCCCTTTCTATCCCGATCGCCTCCGCCGACGACACCCTCATCCTCACTGAAGGGAACGTCATCCAAGCCCTCGACGGTGAACAAAACACACACTCGTTCTCTCGTTCTCCCGCCATTTTTTGTACACGTACAAGTATGTGAAATGTATTGCAGAAGGGACTTCTATGGTTGCGGGTGGTGGCAGCTCGTAGTATCCGCGCGTCGCGCAGCGGTAGGGCGAACGAGGGGGGGAACGATAGTCGCGAGAGAGGGATGTGGCGCGGCGAAGAAGGAAGGGCACAATGTCCCCCGGGGTCGTAGCCTTGTCTGCCCCCCCCCGGTGCGCCGACCAATTCTGGTCGGCGCTATTTCAATAAAATTGTAGACCTAAATTATCCGTCGGCAGCGCCGGTCGCCGCCGGCGCTTTAGCCCGCACACGTGGCCTATTACCACGTGGCCCAACTACACACCCCCCGTTGGCATACTTCGGCGCCGTCGACGGCGGGGGGGCGTGCAACTAGGTCTCTCCCGACGCTGCTCCCGTGATCCGCACCGACGTATTCCAACACAAACCCTTATCAATCCCCATCTCCCTTTTCCGCATCGGGTGCACGAACGCCGAGTTATACCGCGTCCCATTTCCTGCCCAGCCGCAACTCCTTGAATCCCTTCCGCAATTACCCCTCCAAATCTTCCTCGTGCGCTTTCCCGTCTTGGCGTATTGCAATGCCTCGTGGTGTCTCGTCACGCAGCGCGCCCGTGCAGCAACACCCATCCGGAAGGCAGCTGAATATGAGCCCGAGGGCCACGGTACCGACCGGGAGGGTAGCGACGGGTGCTCAGGGGCAGCGAGGCATCACCACTGTAACATGCAGAGGGAGGAAAGTCTCCTTCGCGAGCTTCACCACCGGACGGTTGGCGTCTACCGTGGACCTTTTCGAGAAGGACACAAGGACTACTGTGGGAGCGCGCGCGTTCTTCGAAGCGCTCCCCATCCCCAGCGACAACGTCGCGGCCCTGTCTGCTTGGGTCGCGGCGAGGCCTACAGCGCGCTTCGGATTGATGCAGCTCCGTCGACTTGGCTTCACCGACGACCTCCGTGCCGCAGACAAGTATTGGAAATCGAGATCGAAGAAGGTGATGGAAACTCATGAAGGCGGTGGCAGGGTAAGGAAATGTGGGGATGTCGGTAAGGAAGGGAAGGCGTATGAGATTCGCCGCGTCGCGTTCAGCTCAGGCCGGGACTCTCGATTCGTTGGAAGAGCGGGCCCCGGGTACTTCGCCTCCGACCTTCTTCGAGGGGGACCGTGTACGTTCTGGCCCATTGCGTTTCACACAATTGAAACGCATCGTCTAGGAGGGGATTCCACCCTGGACGCTGAGCTGGGCAGTGGGATTGAGTCGGACTTGGAAATATTTCCTGGACGGATTGGGCGGCAGGGGTGCTCGGTGGAACTTGTTTACAATCCGGGCCGGCAGGCAGCGTTTCTCGACGCACTCGACGATTGGTGCACGGAGCACCCTGACAGATTTTACACTCTGAGCTGTCCCGGTGATCGTGGTCCGTCAAGGCATGCCGCCTCTCTGCATTCAAGCTTGCCGGTATTCGCAAGGTCCTGTCACGGCCAATGCTTGCGAGCAGCCTTGGCGAACGGCATCCATGCCCTGCAGGGACCCGAAATCGCCCTCAGCATGCTTCAGCGGGGCGTAATGGCTTGTCGGAGCCTGGCAGACGCATCTGCCTGGGTGCAGAACAACATCAAGGTTCTGGGGCTCCGACAAATTAAAGTGGACCGGGGCATGACCGAGGAGGAGTGGTTGCGTTATCAACGGACCGGCATCTACCTCGTCCGGCTTTCTGGAATGAACCGCGATGATGAGGAGGTTGACCACGTTGTTGCATACGACGCAGGCCGTCAGGTTGTCTTCGATTGCGTTGAGCGCTTTGCTCTTCGTGTCAGTTCCCAGATTTTTGACGTGTGCGTCGGGGACGACTCGCAATTCATGGGCATCTCCGAGATGAGGCTCCTCTACGCTCAAGAGGTAGGCAAGAGAGTGGCTTCTGGTAAGAAGAAGAAGCCGAATAAGCGCATCTCTTATAGCGTCAAGCGGGAGCGCAGGAGTGAGAAGAAGGGGAATGAAGCCAAGTTTACCCACAAGAAATCGAAAACGAAAAGCGTCATTATTGATGATGAGGAGTGATCAATAAACTTGGGAGACCCTTTGTGATGACTTGAATGTCTCTGCGTCCAAGAATCCACTCCTCATCACGTCGTTTAGTTTCTTGAACATGTCCAAATTTCTCTTCGTGAGGGCGTCTGCGAAGTTCCGTTTTCCGGCTATCCATTGCATGACGCTGATCTCCCCGGTCTCATATGAGTCCCTCATCCTTGCCACAGTGGGACGAAGACGATAGTCACTACCCTCGTGTAAGGTTGTCACCGTTGAGAACAGGCCATGAGAGTCGACCGTTAGCACAAACGGGAGAGGATGCTCTGCAGAAAACACCACTTTCAGTCTTTCCGCTATCATTGATCCCCGGTCAGCAGACGTGGCTGCAGCGAGTATCTCGGCGCCGATTGAGGAAAAGGCTACGCGAGTTTGCTTGCAGCTCAACCAGTCTATGACGTGATACAACCCCACACCCCCCGCTGGCAGGTATATACCCGAAATATAACCTGTCTGTCCATAAGAGGTCGACCCGTGACTCGCGTCCGAGAAGGCGAGGTACGAGGGTGTAACGTCGAGATTATTTGGAGAACGGAATGTGATGTCTGCTTCGAGTTTGTTGATTTCCACCAGTAACTTGTTTGCCGTAATTAGGTTTGAGACCTTGAGGCGTCCTACAGCTTGCTGCAGGAAACTGGCTGCGAAAGAAGCTTGAGGTAAAATACCGTGCCCCAGGAAGTTGAGCGATCCTGCGAGGCCTTGGTAGGCTGTGAGCTCTGTCGCCGTACATGGTGAATCGAACTGTTTGCGTCGCTCCCGAGTGACGGCAAGAGGCTTTATCGTTCCCAGGTATTCCTTCATGCTGATGTGAACTGTTCGATCGTCATTTTGATGTATGTGCAACCTATTGAATATCAGGTCCCGACCAGTGACAAAACGACCAATCTCAAATCGTTTCAGCATGCTTTCATGGAATTCGTCAATGTCCTTCTGGGATCCAGCCATGAGAAAGTCGTCGACAACTTTGCAAATGGCGAGGAGGATTCCTCCGTCTAGTCGGCGCTTGATGAACAGTTGAGGGAGTCCGGGCACTTCTATAATCCCTTGCCCAGACATCCACCGTTCGACTGCTAGCTGCCAAATTCGACCGGACTCTACGATGCCGTAGGCTGGCTTCAGCAGCTTCCAAATCCCTTTGTGCATGGATGTCCAGCCCTTTGGTGGCCTCACGTATATACTGCGAGTTAGCCAACCTCCCTGCATGTACGCACTTTTGACATCGATGGAGCCCAGGGCCATTCCGAGAATCGCCGCAATTGACAACACGATGCGGATAATCGGAAATTGCGCTGTTGCGGAGTCCTTGCGGACTTTTTCCTTATCCCGGTCACGATTGCCATGAGGGACGAGCCTACACTTCAACTTTAACTTGTCCGTCTCACCTTCGTGTTTCAACTGAAAGAAGTGATGAGACGAAATCAAGTTTGCATTCGGAGGAAGCCGGCTGATGTGGAGTTCTTCGTAAGCGCCATCGTAATTCTCCTTCTCCTTCGCAATGGACTTATCGATCACCCACTGAGGGACGAATTGGAGTTGATGTTCTGACAGAGGTTTGTCCCCGAGGACTTCTCTTGCTCTTTGTAGGATCTCTTGTTCTGAAGTCTTGAGGGAGCAAGGAAAGTCTGGGGGCGACATAATCGGTACATTTCCGACATCCTTCGAGGGTTGCGGAGGTTTGTACTCTTTGGTAATGTCGTTCTGGTGTGAAGTTCCTCTTTCCTTTCTCCTTCCAAAGAGAGAGTGTGAGAACAACAGGGAAGAGTTTCCAACATCAACAGCAGGCTGCTCGAAACTGGAGCGCCGTGGCCGTGAGGGATTTCCGGCAAATAGAGTTAGGGAATTTGGATGTTTAGCCCACAGAGCGTGCTCCTTTTCAAAGAAATCTAAGGCCTCCACAGTGTCCGAAATTCCTCTGTCCTCCAGTTCTGTTGTATCCAAGTCAGGTACGGCTGGCTGGATGGCTTCCTCAGTCTCGTATTCCGGTGTGAATTTGATTCTTGCCCTCGGTTCGTCGGCTTCAGCATTCCACGGGAACATCGCCGGCAATGGAGAGTCTTCTCCGAGAATATCGCTTGGGACTTCAGGCGGTGCAGCCGGGTCTACTCCTGTGAACTCGTCTTCTTCCACTATAGAGGACGAGCGAGGAAAGACATAGTTCATTTTGTCAAGTTCTTGCAGGAGAGAAGACCTCGGCGCGACTCGCACATCCTCGAAGGCTGCCCGGATTGGCAGACCGTTGTGGCTAGGTTTGCTCGAGATTGAAACTGAATGTGGGTCTAGTTCTCGAACATATCCTTTCTCCCATTTCCCGAACTTCAGGCCTTTCTTGAAGTAATATACTGGAGTGTTTCTCTGAAGCAGGCATGGATCAATGGTGCGAGGATTCCTCGTCGTCTCTAGGAGCTGAAGCGCACGACGGGCCACTTGCTCTTCGTGTGCAGCTATCAGCTCCTGTCTCACTCGAGACTGCGGAAGACCCCCCAGCGAAGGAGTGTAGCCCCTGGATAGCTCGAAGCTGCTCAGCTTCTTGTTGCCGTATAGAATGTTGCTTATGAACGTCGCTCGCGACACAACATCATGCCGTCCTGTAGCAGCTCCTCGTTCTTGGGCGAAGTACTCGGCGTCTCTGATGAAACGTTCTGCGATTAGACGAATCACTGCGTTTTTTCTTTCGACAATCCCGAGCTTATTATGGCGACGAGCCGGACGAGCTTCGAATCTGGCGCCAATGTAAGCGATGAACTCTTTGAACCTCCGGTTGTTGAACTCTTGGTCTGCTGATACAAGTTCAGGGGCTCCATGGACGTTGCACCATTGTGCCTCGAACTCCTTTGTGGCGAGGTCCATCTCCCTGGAGTCCAGGAGGGCGGTCACCGAGAATCCGGTGTGCACGTCGACCAGATGGAGTATCGGCTTCTTGCAGAGCTCGACAATGTACATGAAGTCAATCTGGACGTGGCTGTTGAAGGAGGCAAGGATCTTGCTAAAAGAGACCTTGCGAGAGATCAGTGGTCTCCCCGTAGATTTGCAAGAAGTGCACTTGCTTACGACGGTGCTCAGGGCTTGCCGCAGAATTGGAGTAAGAACTCCGCCTCTCTTGCAAAGCGTCAACATGTCCTGCAAAGGTAGATGGCTGAACCCATGAAGCCGGACGGCAAATTGTTTGGAAACCCTGCCATCCGAGAACCTCTCCCTCTTCAACGCTGATCGATCACCCTTTTTCACAAAAAGGGTCCGATACGTGGCAAAGTACGCCTTAAACGTTGACGTCTTGGATGGGACAATGAAGAGGTATGTTCTCTTGGCGTCCTTGTCTTCCAATGAGACGGGTTCGCTGTACGTCTGCAGCGTTAGCTGCTTTCTTGAAATGCCGCGAACCCCTGCGGGAATTACGAGAAGGTTCTCCGGACCCAGCAAACGAGATTGGTGAAGGATCTCGTTGCCGAGTAACAGGAAGCCGTTACCGGGTGTCAAATAGAACGGAATCTTGGCTTCCTGTCCGAAGACATCCTTGACCGGCATATCCCATATGGCGATGGTAAGTTCCGCTTCGCTGCAGTGCATGCCATACCCGTGGAAGAAAGGGTCGCAGTCCAAAAGTCGCAGCTCGAAGGAGATACCGAGAGCAAGGCACAACGCCGCCGCAGCTTCGATCCCTCCGACGCTGCGTGGACATCCGACGTCCAGAATCGGGTTAACGTCTTCGAGACCCGTTCTGACGTCTGACACGGCTCCACGATCCGACATAAGGCTTAGATGTTTCCTTGTCCGGAGCTGGAGCCTGGGCGAAAAAAATTCTTTTGCTGCCTTTGTCCCTGGGAAGAAGTCATTTGGGTCGGATTGGGACGCCGCTTCGTCATGGTGTATTTGCTGGGAAATTTGCAACGCATATCTCCAGCATAGTGGTCTTCATCGCCGCAGTCAAAGCAGACTTGCCTCCGAAGGTTGGGGGGAGGAAGCGACTTCTCACTTGGTCCACCTTCCCCTCGACCTCTCTTTCCACGACGGGTCTTGTTGTTGATGTCATCCTTTGCATGCCTGATTTCACCTCGAGCACCCACTTTACGATCGGACCTGTATCCAACTGAAAATAGGGCTTGCTGCACGTTGCGTTGGACCAGAGATTCTACTTCTCTCATGCTCATCGACGAAGAAGGGCTGAACGCCGTGAGAGTGAGGTTTCCAAGAACGGAAACGGCGTCATCAAGATTGAGTCGACAGGCTTGCTTTTTCGAAAGGATCCTTGACTCGACTGAGGCGTCAGAGGAGTTGGTTGCCGTCGGGATAACAATGCGTTCCAAGCATTCGGCGAACTTGTTAGACTCTGAAATAGCTCCTCGGCGATACTTTTTCATGGCCCGCAACAACCCGTCCGCACCTTTAGACTGATTGTAGGAGAGCGGACCATGCAGATCCTCCAAAACTTGGTACTTCTGCTTCAAGTCTTCTACATCCTTCAAAAAGCTTCGGGGGACTTGCACGGTGTCTTGAGAGTCACTATTGTGACATTTTTCTCGATTTTCTGCAAGGGCAATTAGCTGAAGCTTTGCGTTGGTAAGCGTACCCTCCTCCAAGTTTGCATTATTGAGGAGAGTGATTGCCAACACCTCGGCGATTTGCGAGCCGCTAGTTACATTTGAATGCATGAGGTGTTCGGCTGCAAGACCACGGAATCTTGAAACAAATACGGAGAGATCTTCATTCTTCTTTCTGCGACACGTCGTGACCTTATTATAAGAGTTGATTAAACGGGTTACGACTGCAATGGGAGGATCGACGGCGATCAACTCCACAATGTCAGCCACAGCCGCAATCTGGTCCTCCTGCTTGTAGTCGATGATCTTCTTGGCCTGAGCTTCATCAACGATAGATTGTTGAGCGCTCGGAAGGCCGCGGTCGTACAAGACGCGCCCAAGTGTGGCAAAGATTGTCTTGTAGACCCGATCAGGGCCCGAAAGAGCGGAGTGCTTGATAAGATCCACCCAGCGGTAGACCTTCTTGCGCCAATCCTGAAGATCACCATTCGGGTAAAAGAATGGGGGATCTAAGCGCGAGCGCAGGTCTTTCTTTTCGTTCAACCCTGGGCCCATAACTATGGTTGCGGGTGGTGGCAGCTCGTAGTATCCGCGCGTCGCGCAGCGGTAGGGCGAACGAGGGGGGGAACGATAGTCGCGAGAGAGGGATGTGGCGCGGCGAAGAAGGAAGGGCACAATGTCCCCCGGGGTCGTAGCCTTGTCTGCCCCCCCCGGTGCGCCGACCAATTCTGGTCGGCGCTATTTCAATAAAATTGTAGACCTAAATTATCCGTCGGCAGCGCCGGTCGCCGCCGGCGCTTTAGCCCGCACACGTGGCCTATTACCACGTGGCCCAACTACAACTTCACTATACATGTATATATCACTTTTCAGGAAATTTTGTCATGGAGTCTCACTGGATTTCACTTGCTCTAAATGTTAAGACATGTAGGTGTCACTGAGTGTATTCATGTCGAGCACGATGAATCATGTGATTCACAACCATACTGTTGTGCCTAACCAAGTTGTTTATTGGTGTCCAGGGGCGATGCCGATAATCCTCCCGACGTCACTGGAATCCATTTGATTCCACTCTCCGCATGACGAGAGTCCACTCGACTCCTCAGGAATCCATCTGATGTCTCGTTCTCGTCTTCCTTCTCGCCCAGTTCCTTCCTTGATGTCATCTATCCTACTGGCCACAACTCTACGTTGTAATTGGTCTCGAACAGCATATTACTGCCTTGCCTACTACCGAATGCAAGCGGTACTGCCTCTACGGTGTCACTCAAAAATATATATTGTTTTGGTTTTGGCTGCGGTGTCACATGCAGAGCAGAAACGGCCCCTCTCACAGCCTGCTCCGCTGCGGCAGGCTGTGAGAGGGCAAGCTGTGAGAGGGCAGGCTGTGGGAGGGCAGGCCATGGGAGGGCAGGCTGTGGGAGGGCAAGCCGTGGGAGGGTAGGCTGTGAGAGAGGTGCGGTTTGTTTTGTTCTGCCGCCGTGGCGCAGCTCCGCTGCGGCAGAACGGAACCGCTGCGGCAGAACGGAACAAGCTGCCACGCATCCTACGCATGCCACGCATGCCACGGAGGCCACGGAGGCCACGCATGCCACGTTTGATCTAGACCCACCTCCCGCTCATCCAGATGCGATGCACGTCCTACAACCGCGGGATCAAGCCAAAGGTTGCAACGTGTTTCTGACTGTCGTACCTCCGATGAGTGAGGCCCTCCTTTAAGACAGCATGGACGGGCATGTTTGGACATGTATGGACGTCAGCGTGCACCTGATTGGTCCATTAAATACTTTTCTTAACAGTATGATGGCGCACACAAAGTTAAAATAATGGAATCTGTCACTACCAACGTGCCATACGAGAGCACACCATTGGCTGTCGCCTACCGCATAAGTGCGATTGAATTCAATCTTGATCCAATTTAGCATACATTAAAATTCAATTTAATCATTTTATTGACGTCTCTGAATGCCAGTACACGGGGATCGCGATATAGTGGCCTCCCTCTGTCAGTGGGCCGAAAACGGCACTATATCGAACCAGGCACTGTAAGATAATGAGATTTGCGGCTTTTTTGCAGCCACTTCCTTGCATCACTGCTCAGAAAGACCGTTCGCAAGACGCCATCACTCATACTTTGCATCTTCACTACAGACTCAAGTCTAATCAAGCATTTATGTCATTAGTAGCTTCCGAGCCGTCGCATTGACTTCCTCCATTTTTGCAGCAATAAATGCCAGCCTACACTTTTGCAGATGTCCAATTGCATCATCGACCCTGCCTTTTTCCGCCATAGTCTCTATTCTAGTAAGCAACTGCATAATATCTTTCCGCGGCGGCAGCGGCTCTCGAGCAGTACGTCCATCCAACTGCCTCTCTGGAGACCCTTAGTTTTTGGCTCAAAATTCGCGCCACCCGCAAAAGGGTATCGGAGCTGGCACTAACAAAGATGGCACTCTATCGCGACCCCCCTGTACACTTGAAAAAAGGCGGGAGGCTGGCAATCGAAGGAGATGCGATTCGTCTCCCGACAGAACCAAACCAAGACCCAAAAAGACATCCTTTCTACCCTCTTCCCTATCGATAGCCCGGTATGATGCACCCCTTGAGCCAATTTACGGATCACGGCGCGCTGACACAATACATTAAATTATTGGACATGTAATATTTTGAAAATCGCAAACATATACATCCAAACATGGCTGTCCATGCTGTCTTAAAGGAGGCCCTGAGAATGTCCGGCGAGCAAGAATGGCCGCGGCAGGAAACAATGTCGTCTCTGGCCATCCCACCGAGCACAAGGAAGGCACAAGGAAGAGTGCCTGGCCTCGGTCTACTTGACGGTTTACACCGTGTAACCACAAACAAGTGCTGATCGGATAGCCACGGCGGTATCCCGTACCCCTGTCTTCTTCCTCCCTGTTTCCAACCATCTCTTAAGAGATGGTTGGAACAGGGACACTCAACACACTTACACATTAATACACATTAATGTGTGAGTGTCCGTGCACGAGCAGTTGCCCGTGTCCAAACAAGGCAAAACCTCCATTTCACACAACCTCTTCATGCTCCATCATGCTCCCCCCACCACTACCAACAAGCCACAGCCTCCCGACCACCGCCCGTCTTCGACGCTACACATGCCGTCGACCTCAACGCTAACACCGTCGTCAAGGTTTCTAATACCTGACAAAGCGAAAACCACCGCAAATCCGCCGTGCATATCTTGAACTTCCTACTACAACGACTGATATCGCATGTGCCTGTTCTGCCTTCAGTTTTGTTTGCTGGTCTCGCTACGCGCAGTCTCTACGTTGGACGGCACTATTCCCCGCACAGTGACGCAACTGCGCGCGACACATAGAAAAGATGTACCGGCTACTTTTTTTGCGGAGAGGGGCATCGAGGCGTCGGGTAACTAGAAACAACTTCAAATACATACAAATTTCTCCTGGCACATCATCCCTTACTACATATACCGTGGGTACAACCCCTCCTGTCCTGGCCGGGACATCCCCTTTTGCCCAGTGGTTATTCACACACTCACAATCACACTACTGCACGAGCTCGTAAAAGTACAGTTTTGCTTCTACCTGGATCGCAATGTGCCGACCTGAAGTAGAACAGTACCAACGACAGGACCAACGATCTCCCGCAACGGTTGCTAGGCGGCTGTCTTGTAGAACACTCCATCTCCCTTTTGCCGAATCCTTAGTTTCCTCTCCAGTTTCCTCTCTAGATCCGCCGCCGTGAGTTTGCCCTCATTCGTATCGATGAACTGGCGCAGATCGCTCTCTTTGAGATACCCAACATCATCGTATTGCTTTTCGCAGACAGCGCTTTGACTCGTCACGGACAGGATTCGTAACGTTCCTCCACGTCTGTCCAACGTTCCTCCACCCAACGTCGCCATTCGCGACCCGTCCCGGAACCAAGCAATCTGCGCAATCTCCATTCGATATTCTTCACTGTTTGTGCACCTTAACATCACCCCTGTCTCAATATCCCATATCGCGAGCTCTTCTCCAATTCCAAGGGCTACGCGTCGTCCGTCGTCAGACCATTCCAGCGGATAGCGTGGTAAACCATACTTATAATATCTCTTGAGCTGGTACCGATATGTTACATCTGTCTCCCAATTCCAGATCATAACTCCGCCTCTGCTTGGTTTCCCATTTTCATCATTTTCAACCATATTATATCCAGTTGACGCGATCCATTTGTCATCTGGAGACCACTTCACCGCATGAGGGAACAGAGCCCGCCCAACAGAGAACGGAGCCCGCTCAACAGAGAACGAAGCCCGCACACCTTCTTCACCTTCTCTCCAGGGCCGCTTGACAAAGTTGAACCAATCTATGTGAACTTCGTCTGCAAATTCGTCTGAATACCACTCAAGCAGACCTTGGTCCGCAGCCCATTTCAGGCCGACCGAATCTGGGACACGTTCGGGGGCATCGCCCATCGTCTCTCCTGTCTTGGCGCCCCGCAGCACGACCCTGCCATCTGTATGCCCACATGCCACCCTGATCGCCTCTCCCGTTCTGGCGCTTAACAGCACGACCCTGCCCTCGTTACCCATACCGCCAAGCGCGATCTTCGTGTCGTTTCCAGCCCACGCCATGCACCCGATGTCCATGTAGGCGTCTGTGATTCTCTCCCATAACTTGTTCCCAGTCTTCCCGTCCCACAACCCCATCCCCCTTCCAAACGACACGAACACCCTCGTCCCATCATTGGACCAACATGCTTGTGCGTAACCACCCTTGGCCCAGTCTTCCCACAACTTGTCGCCCGTCTTGCTGTCCCACATCGCAAACGTTCCATCTTCTGCTGCCGTAAACACCCGCTTGCTATCTCTAGACATCTCCAGACAATACACATGGCTTACGTGTGTCTCAGCATCCCCCCACATCTTCTTCCCCGTCTTCACATCGTACATCACTACGTCTCCGTCTCCAACCACAGTAGCACATATGTCATCGCTTGACCACGCAACAGCCGTGAATTCTTGCCCTTCCTTGTTGACCTTGTCGACTTCCTCTTCCTCCTCCTGCACCCTCTCCAGATTATCCCACCTCCAAATGACAATATTGAAATTCTCATCCGCAGAAAACATCCGCTTTCCATCTTCTAGCCAGCCCAAGACCACAACATGCGACCCGTGTGTCGCCATGTGCCGCCGTACTTCTGCCCCGGTCTCTGTGTCCCTCACAGAAACCCCGTGGCTACTGGAAGCAGCCAACCATCTCCCATCCCCGGACAGAGATATTGCCGTTGCCAAAAAATCATCGAGAAGAGAAGATATTCTCTTCCCCGAGCGTCCGTCCCGTACCGACACCACACCCTGCTTGCCACCACCCTTCTTGCCACGGTGCTCGCCACAGTACAACAGCGTCCCGTCCTCCGACCATGAAAGACAGCGAACGTATTCCAAAGGCGCGCTTTCCGCGATACTCCTACCAGTCTCCCCGTCAAAGATCCACAATCTTGCTTCAGATAGTCCCATCTGGAACACGCACGCGACCCGCTTTCCATTGTTCGACCACGAAATCGACCCGTTGGTCCAATCGGCTAGTCGAATACTCGGCACGCCAATCACCCGAACCATCTCCCCTGTCTCTGCACACAGTATCAAAATTGACCCGTTTGAGCCGCATTTTCCTGTGCACGCCAACCGTTTCCCGCCCGGAGAAAGCGATACTTGCTGAACAACATGGCCCCCCATATTCGCTGCCTCCTTGATCTTCACACCTCTCTCAACATCCCACAACACAACCACACCATCTTCTCTCCCAAACGCTACTCGCTTTCCATCCCCCGTCAAGTCAAAAGGGCGACTGTAAAACCTCTCCAGGTGCCCTACATCCAGTTCCTGTCCGACTCGCTCTGCTGTAGCTCCTGTATGCATATCCCACACCTGCACGCTTGTTCTATCTGCCTGTACTACCGCTACGTACTTTCCGTTCTCCGACCAAAACCTTCTCACACCCCATGCCACTTCAAACAACACGTTTTCTTCCATTTCCCCGTCCCGGAATGTCCGACGAAACAGATGCTCCTTACCCCCCCAAGCGATCACTTCGTTCTTATCTGCAAACAGATGCTTCATCATTCCCCCCCAAGCGATCACTTCGTTCTTAGCTGCGCATCCCGACATTCCCACCACCCTCCCCTGGTCCGGAAATATGTGTTGCACCGCGCCTGATACGTTCAAGCCAGGTGTAAGCGACTTCAACCACGGCTTCTCCGCAACTTCCTCTATCCTGCGTAAGAACTCTCCAATTACTTCCGACTCGTTCCTGAATCTCAACAGACCATCGTACAGCTGAAACAATACCTCTCTCGAACTTCGACGAACAAAGGACGCACTCAGCCTCGCCTGTCTAGCAATCTTCTGCAACGACCACAGCCTGCCTCCCGCTTCGCACCGTTCTCCGTCTTCCCCGGCTACGTCCGTCAAAATCTTGAAATCCTCTTGAAGATTTAGCCCCTCTGCCCGAGTTAACTTCTCTGCCACCCACCTGGCATCACTCAAAACATCCCACAAATCCTCGCCCAGCTGCGCCCCCTTGAGATGGCGGCACAAATTGTGTCGGAAATACTCGTCCTCCACCATATCCTTCTTCCACCCTCTCCCGCAAACCCACGGCGGCGCTTCTTGCCTGTTCTCACTCTCGTTCCATTGCCATTCTTGCACAAGCTTTTCATGCCACCTCTTCTCTCCCCCATTCCCACATCTCTGTTGCACGTAATCGAGCTGCAAATCGTGCAACCTGACTCCGGCGATCTTGCGACCACTTGACACTCCATCCTTTCGTTCCACTAGACTGGCCTCCACGAATTCGTGCAGCACTTTCAATGCCTGAGCTTTTCCTTTCCGTCTCCATAACAAACAGAGCACACTCAACGGCAACCATCCCTGGCGCCGAATGACCACCAGCGACTCGTACATCTCGGCGTAGGACATCAACTGCCCATCTCCTCTGGTCTTCTTTCGATCCATCATGCACAGCGAAACTTCAAACGCCATTGACAGGTTCTCGTATAGGTACGTCCCATCCGCTCTTTCGTCCAATAATATTGACGATGTAGCTTCCAGACACTCCAAGTACTCATCAAGCACATTTTTCAGACAAAGTTCTTTCGCAATCTCACGATGTCTCGCAATCGCTCTGCCAACCACGGACAGCGCAAGCGGAAGCCCACCGCAAAATCTCAGTATCCTATCCGTTTGATCCCCCAGGCCCTCAACCTCTTCACGTTGTATGTCAGCAGACTTCAGCAAGATTTCCAGAGAAGAAGCATCTTCTTTTGTCGAAAATTGGATTTCTTCGCTTCCCTCCACCACGCCCCACTCTCGCGCTGTGAACGCTGTACGGCTGCTGTTCTCCACATCCGCAATTTCTCTCAGCCTTGACATGACTTTACTCCCGGCTATGCCTTCTCTCCCGACCATGCCTTCTCTCCAGACATCGTCGATAAGTAACAAAATCGTCTTCCCTTTGAACCACTCTGTGACCCTCGAAACCGCAGATTCTAGCACGCTTTCTTCACGCACCTCCTTCGCTTGCGTTTCCCCTCCGCTTTCTCTCGTGATGCGGGCCAGCTGTTCCATTACTCCTCGTTCTGTCGCGTCTTGACCGAGCACCAGCCAGTATATACCGTCGCAAAACCGGCTGCGAACCTCTTCATCCGAGGCCAGACCGCGTAGGGCGCAAGACTTTCCGATGCCTCCCATCCCCTTCGTCCCCACAACCCCTCCACGGCGCGCTCCAACAGCACCAACATTTTGACGGTCTCCCGGACGCAAAACACTCCGCCTCAATCGTTCTTCCGGAGCCGTCATACGTTCCGTACTGTTGCCAGCATCTTCACTGCGTCCAAACTTCAGTATGACATGGTCCGGGTTCTTTGGCACTTGAAACGAAGCCTTGAAGCCATCCACCTTCGGGTCCTCCGCGGATGTAGTACGCATTTGATGACGAGCATCGCCAATGGCGTCGCTCCTCTTCGCCTCTTCCTCGAATGGGCCATGAACGCCTTCTGTCACTACATCGCTCGAGTGCTCCTCACATTTCTTTTTCACAGCCAGAAATACTCGCTCCACAAGTTGTTTTCTTGCAAGATGGCTGAATTCGTCTTCCAACCGGTTCGTTGCCTTTTCGTCATTTTCTATCCCGGTGATATCTGCCAGCTCTTGTAGCTCCCTCTTCACCATTTCCGTGCTCGCCTCGCACTGTCGTTCCTCGCTAAAAAACTTCTCAACTTCAAAAATATTGTTTCCTTCATTATCCTGATGCTCACTGGGCTCCAACTTTCTACATTCCCGAATACTTAGTCTGTAAAACACCGGAATCAGTGTTGGTGGCTGCCTCCCACTCCTTATTGCTTCTTCCCTTCTACCTAGGAAGCAACGCAGTTCCCTCATCGTCCATTTTCGAGCGGCAAACTCGGGAGAAAGAATGAAAACACCGACCTTCGCAGATTTCATGGCCTTCGTCATTTCGTCCGGTCCGCAGTCACCGGGCTGCATTGATTTCTTGTCGAGGAAGAACTTTTTACCATCAGCTTCCAATTTCTCGAAAAGAGGACGTGCGATGTTTAGCTTATCCGGGCCAGCATGGCTTATGAACACATCGATAGAGTCTTGCTGGTAGCTTTCCTGCATTTTTAAGTAAATAGCCAGACGCCTAGGACAAGACAGAAAGAAAAGAAAAGTTGATGAGGTGCGGAGTGTGTTTGCGTGAAAACGGCGCCGGTCGGTCGAAAAACAGGGATGCGAAGGTTGATGGCCACGTTCAGCGCGTGGCACTCTTGTCTTTGTCAACGGTCAACGTGTCTACGGCGTTGTCAACGAAAGCGGAATGAGTGGGGACGTTTGTGTGGATGAGTAGGATGAGACGAAGTACTTGCGCTTGCTGTTTCGTGAATGAACGCTCGTAGAACTCGAGCGTGGAAGGAAGCACCCAGGGTATATTACAGCCTCGTAAATGAACGCTCGTAGAACTCCAGAGTGGAAGGAAGCAACCAGGGTGTAAGTGTTGACCCGCACCTTACAGTGTGCGGGTAGTCGTGCACAAATCCTATTAGTGTAATGCTGTAAGTTTACATCTCAGCGCCGTCGCTGTTGCTCGCGCTCGTCGTTGGGAGACTACACCCAAACATCGCAATTAGTCTGGGCTAGACTATAAAAAGTCAAGGATATATTTTCACCCTCACACGTAATAATGCGGACTGCACTAATATGTGTACCCGCACTATATGCATCACAACCTAAGATAGAGTAGACCAGACTAATTTTCAATGAACATATTAGTGAAGACTGCACTATTTTGATAAACACGCTATTGTCCAATCATAACCAGTCCATGTTAGCATATCGACACATTTTACTCATCATCAACATCAACAACGAGAGCGCCATCGAAGTGATTTCTATACTTCTGCACTATCTCTTGCAATTTTGGAAACAGCTGGGACTCTTCCCATTGTCCGTTGATATTACAAGCAAGACCGGTGCGGATCATAGCCTTTCGGGCGTACCTCACTCCATCTGCATCCCGCATCGCATTTACGTCCCTCACAACGGCTGCGGCCAAAGTCAAATAGTAATGTTTTCCCGGGTTAGGAATTTTCCCAGAAGCCGCCGCGAACCCATTCCGCATAATTACGTCCATCTTATATCTATCCCATCGTCCAAGCCATGCGTCCTTTAATTTTTGGATGACAAAGGAATCCGCCGGCTGAATCAAATCTGTGGCGTTAGGCGGAAAAAAGCGTAGTTCCGTGTTACACGCTTGCAACGCCTGCTCCAAGTTCTCCGACATCCCATGCCCCCCACAATTGTCAACAAACAAATACGTTTCTGCCCATGCGGCAAACATTTGAAAACCTTGCTCTCTGAAAAACCGTCTTGTCCATCCACCCTTTCGGGCCTGAACGATACGATACCCCTTGCACATTGTCTGGGACCCCCTGTATCGGATAACTTCTATTGGTATTCTGAAAATCCATAAGTGGCGCTTCAATAACAGCATCCCTTCCACCAGAGATCCTAACCATCATCGTCATTTTCTCAGACCCCGAAACCACGTCCGAATACTTCACTTCAGCTTCGCCACATTTTCCCAATGTCCTGTGATTATCCAAATTAATCAGAAAGTGCGTTTCGTCCGCATTACACACGTCATTTTCGTCCATTGCTCCAGAATGAAATGCACGAGCAACCATCCCAAGGTGGTACGCCACCTCCCTCTCAATATGGGATTGTTTGGCCGGCGATACCATGAGCTTCCCAGTTTGGGCCCTACTGACGATTTGGAAACGGTTCATAAATGCCTGTATCCAGCGGGGCAATATTAATTCAATAATTAATTTGTTCGATTTTAAATCTTTCAGATTGGCATGATACACCGCATCACGAGATTCACGGACCAGGTAAATTGCCAAATGACGGAGAAGTTTTGCGTTGAACTTCAGGCCAGACTTCCTCAGACGCTCAAACTCCTCGACTAAGTCTGCATGCATTCCAATTACCCAACCCGCCCGTTTCCTTCCTCGACCGGCACAGGCCTTGATGTAGACACGTTTCATGCCAGCGCGCGTGACGCGCGTAATCGAAAAGGGTATTCCGCGGGTGTTTGTCCCTCTTTGGTACTTCATCAGGGCTTCCCGGGTTTTCCACAGCCTACTCGCTTTTCCATTGTTCGCTTTCTCTGATCCCCGAAAAAGTGCTGGGAAATTGCGAACAGCTCGGGATGCCATGTGTTTGTCACCGTCTGTACGAGACGCTTCCACCATCCACGTGACGATCTTGACACGCTGTGCATGAGTAAGCACATTCTGAAGTGCCCGCTTCCGCGGTTTTTTGAGCTGAGGGGGTAGGGAAAGTGAATCTGATGGAGTGTCCAAGGGAGGTGTGGGGGAAGGATGCACTGTTGTACTGCTGTGGTGCGGTTCTGTCGGGGAGGGGGGCAGATGGGAGGTGTTCGATGAGGCAGTTGCCACTGCTCGCTGCAGGGAGCGCACGATGGGGGAGGGCGAATACATTTCGGTGCGCCTCACTGAGAGATTTGGTGAATGCATGGGGAGGAATTCCATATCTTGGTGTTAAAGCTCCTTTTATAGAGGTTTCTGGCAGCCGAACTGGACGGGAAACACGTACTAGGTGGCTTTAGAGGCGGGTTGATGGTGTTACAATTTCCCGCGCATTGCGCTTCCCGCCTAATAATTGCAGTAGTTACCGTCGGGCGCGCATTCCGGTGCGCGAGAGTCTGTTTGCTCTATGCCTTTTCTGTCTTTTTGGCGCATCCAGACTAATATGTGTGTAATATCAAATAGTATAGTCTACAGTAATTTTGTTTACGAGCAAGGAGAGCTCGCAGAAGTTAGTATGGTCTACGCTAATATGTGTATCCACACTAATTTTCCACCCAGACTAATTGCGATGTTTGGTGTACTTATCCGTCCTGCCCCGAAGCTAGACGGGTGAGGACGGAGGTAGAGGGAACAATTGAATAAACGTGCGTTTTTGCTACGGTTGTTTCGTTGCCTCGCCCCGCTTCTACCACCTATCTTTACCCTTCCGTCGCCCCTCCCGCGAGTTCGATCTTGCAGAGACGCCAAGGACGCCACTCTTCACGCCCTAAAGCGACAATCCGGATTTGCTCTCCGTGAAAGTGGCTCGACAGCATGGCCTCATCAACTCGCACCCAGATCGAGGCTCGTAAGGCTCTGCACGAACGCCTTCTCAAGCAGGCCGAGTTGTACAAGCCGACTTCGAAGTTGGCTGAAATGCTCATCGACATTGCGGTACTCACTCTCAACCTCAATGATATTGAGAAGGACATACCGAAAGATGAGATTGCCGCAAACGTGGTATCCGCTCTTCCGTCGCCGTCTTTGATCTTCACCCCTGATTATTTTCAGCAACCGCCATTCGCCGTTAAGCTACTCAAGGATGTGACTAGTCTTTACGACATACTACCACTATCTGGAGAGATCGTTTCAGCTTTGGATGTTCCTTCTCAAATGGACAGCGTCGCCTTATGTCACGTTTGGCTCCTTTCCATCATGGTGCCGAACGACAAAGAGAAGGCTAAGGCTATCGCGAAGGCGTATTGTAGTATAACGACGGACGCGCGCGCGGGGAGATTATTATCCGTGCCGCAGGGCACGGTGTACACGTGGGCGGGTGTGCCCACGTGTAGGGAGCGCGCTCATGCCGAGTGGTCGTAATCTGGCGTACGTGTACAGTAGTGCACGTGTCGGCCAAGCGATAGTTTGCTAGTATTACGCGTGTACGCTAGCACACGTGGCATCCGTGCGATAGTCTGTAAGCAGCGCGTGTGTACAGTAGTACACACGTGTACCTGCAGCGTCTGCGCGGTAATTAGGAATTGAGGCGCTAGTTTTTTAATTGCGTACAGTACCTGGTACGCACTGGGCGGCAGGTACTGTACACTGGGACAGGTGTCCGAGGCGTCCCTCTGAGGGGTTAAGACCTGACACCCGTCCCCACCAGTAAACGGGGGCAAGCTCGCCCCCGTCCCTTTCGCGCCTACGTACGTCCGTTTTCGGTTGTCTGTCGCGCGCGCTGGCTTCTAACCCGTTACCGGTCGCTCCCGTTCACGCACCACGGGGCGACTGCGCGTAACCGGCCAGTGAGCCACTCCCTTTTCGCGAGCTCGTCCGATCGGTTCAATTAGCGCGTCGCGTCCGCGCCGCGTGCTCCCTCCCCAAAGCCTCCGCCTCTCACCCAACCCAGGGCGGAGAGGAGTTATCCCACATTTGTTACTCTTGTGGAGGGGGAAACTCTCGAGGTTGAGCCGCACGCGTGGTCGCTCGATCACGCGCAGAACGGTACGGACGGAAAAGGTTGAGAAATCACGGCGTCGATCGCGAAGCGTATTCGACGATGAACCGACCGGATCCAGGGGGAGACTCCGCCTCCGGGCGTCTGAGCACCCGCAGTGGCAGTGGCACACCGCGCCCCCGGGTGGAGAACCCGGAAGCCCTGCTGCGACCGCCACCGCGACCGGGCCGCACGCGAGCGTCTGCATCGGATGTTACGCCGGCCGTGTCGGCAGGCACTGAGAATCGCGTCCAATGGATGGTCGACACGATTCAGCCGCGCATCTAGGCCTGGGTCGAGGAGTTCCTCGCTACGGAACTCCCCCAGGTAGCGCGCGTATGCCTTGACCGAACGGTGCTCGCGCTCGTGGACGCGCACGTAGGCAGCGCGATACCACCGCGTTTGGACGAACTTCTACCCGCTCAAGTCCAATGCGAGGTGGTGACCGCGCTCACCACTGTGGATGAAGAATCCCCGTCCGGTACGGCTCTAAAGGGAGCGATCAGCTCCGCCGTGGCCAATCGTCTGGCCACAACCTTCGCCGGAGCAGGAGTCGACGCACGCGAGCAGCGCGACTCAACCGCTCCGGATTCTACGCTAACGGACGCCGAACCGATCGGCGCCGCACCCGGGATTGGTACAATGGCCCCTCACCCGGAGGGTAAGACCATTTACCTCCCACCAATTTATGGTGCTACAGGAGGGCCCACAGAAAATGGCCCTCCCCTATTCGCCGATACGGCTGGCCCCCGCGGGACAGAAAACCGCCTGGGGCGCTTCGCGACAGAAAAGCGACAGCCGTATCGGTCGAGCAG